CGTCTTCGAAAATTTCATGTTGGGATGAAAATTTCTATGCAGCTACTAGAGAAAACACACACGTATATTTTACTAGGTTCTAAGCAAAGACTACTACTGCAAACAAGCAGAGGATAAGGCAAAGGCTTATGAATGAGAGCGTTCCAAATTATGAATATTTTTATTGTCACACAACAAAGGCAAAGCCTTTTTTTCAACTTTTGGGCTATCATCGCATATGCTGACATGCATGTGCAAAATGAATTTAACTTACCAAAATCCTAGACATAATAAATGTTAGTGACAGCTCAATATTGAAGTCAGCGTTGTGTTGTATGCCGAAAACACTGCTTGGGTCATTCACACATGGTATTGAAGGAAACAATAAAAAATCCACACAACATGGAAAAAGCTTTTAATTAAGAGATTAAGTAATTTTAGCATAATTACATAAGAAAGTACAAAAAGAGATGATTCTTTATATATACTCATAGCCACATTCATCCACCAACGCGTTGCAATTTGGCAAATGAGTATTGTAGAATTTACTTGGTATACATTGAACAACGTTGCTGAAATTGATCTTAACAGAAAGGATTAGCTATTCTTAGCTCAAAACTATTTCCAACCAATATTCATGGAGCATACATTTTGGGTCAATGGGGAGAAGTTTGAACACAAACACTAAAGTATTGAATAGAGCATACATTTTCCAAAACAGGTTGTGATCATGTTTTATGTATGTATCTGGTTTCCTATCTAAAGACACTATTGTTGAAATTTTTTCTAAAATATTTAAATTTTCTAATTTTTTTTTTAATTTTTTATCAGGGTGTACCATGAAAAAAAAAATCACATTGAATCGATAAAAAGAAAAAAAAAATGATTTTCCCCCGCCTCCGCTCCCCAACTTTTACTTCCATCACTGTTTGCAAGAGATGGTGACCTGCTGCCGCCATTGTCCAAAATTTGGGCAAGCCACCGCTGCTCGATTGCATTTTGGAGACATATGAATTTGCTGATTTTGTTTGAGCCGGTCACATAGATATCGTTGGATGCTGTTTTTCAAGGCCAGCCTGTTTAAGTTGATATTAAATTAAGTATATTATATCACACACAATAATAAATGTCACATATCAATTCCACCTCAACCTACCTCTCACTCTCCCTATGTTCCAGAATATGTTGTCTTGATCTCATATCGTCTATCTTGTGTCTTGTCTCATCTCATTCCTCCAACTCAAGCAACCAAAACAAACAAATTAAAATAAATTAAATATAAAAAATTAAAATTATCTGAAAATTGAAAAATTCAACCAAAATAAGCAAACAAATAAAAATCAATTAAATATAGAAAAATTAAAATAATCTAAGATGGTAAAGCCACTTACCAAAGAATTAGAACCATTCAGAAAGCCCTAATAAAAAAAAAAAAACCCTAATCATACCCTGAATGTGTTTTTGAAAAGCATTCCCTACTCGCTAAGCACCAACAAAAGCATAAACTTGGGAATGTCTTGGATGATACAAATGAAAAGAGCGGAGTCCTTTTATAGGACAAAAACTCTACCCGAAACTAAAATATTCTAGATATTTCCAAATGATCTAGGGTGTTCTACAACCTTCCAGAAGATTCTGAAATATTTCTAGAATCTTTAGCCTAATTTTAGTACACCACTTTTGAGACTGTTTCGAAAAGTTAAATCACTTTTATTTAGTTAGCCTTATCCGTTTGTAGAGGGTTAAAGTGATAGTTCTAGAATGTATTTATAATTTTTATTTATTTATTTGTAAATTTATTCTAAACTCTTCTTTTTTTTTTATTATTATTATCTAATGTCTTTAGTTACTTTTTATGACATACTATATTTATATTATTAAATACCTTTATTTGTGTATTTTTTAATTACTTTATTAACTGTATATTATATGTTTTATTTTATTAATATTTATTATATATATTACTTTAATTATTTTATAATTATTATATATTAACCGTGCTTCCTTTTTAATTTAAATAAAAAACTACATCACAACCATCAGATTTTAATAAAAGTATATTATTTTATCTAATAAAATTATTGTACAATATTAAATATTATTTAAACAAAAATTCAAACAAAAACTCACTTTAAAATCAAAACAAACAAACCCTTTATAAATAAAATATTTTAAATTTTTATTTTTTGCATAATTAAAAAAGATATATAAATATATTAAATACATATTAATTATACCATTTATATATATTATTTTTGAGATTTAAAATCTAAATATATATGTACTTAATTTAAATGATAAGAGGAAAATCTTATGATTTATTTGGTTTTGATTTGAAAATTGAATTTTTTATTTCACTTTTTGTTTAAATAGTATATTAATATGATATTTAATATCGATTTGTATTTAAAATAAAAAAACATACAAACTTTTATCTAATATGAAATACTTTTATTTTGAATGATAAAAGGGAAAAAAAAATACACTATTTTCTCTTGCTAAGCATTTTTTAAAAATACTATCTAAACAAAAATTTAAATCAATATCTCATTTCAAATTAATTTCAAACCACAATCAAACAAACCCATCGAACATCATAAAAATACGGTAAGAATGGAGTCCCCATAGTTATTTTACTTTAACCCCTAAGTGTCTTCGGTACTTGCATCTTTGTGATCTTAATTAAGACATGCACTTTTACATTTGTGTCGAGCATTTAAGTGAATCATATGGTCTAAGCTTTATTGTTGTTTACTGTGGATATGTGCTCATATATGACCCATGATTCTACGTACAAACAACGGTTGTTGTTGATCTAGATGCATTGTCATATTTTAGGAGAAGAAGATAAAATAAAATACACATATATGTTCCGAATGGAGAAAGGTTAAAAATTTTAATTGATCAAGAATAATTAAGATACAGTAAAAGAAAATTATAAGTTTTAACTTTAAATTAAAATAAATAACACTTCACACTTGTCACTATATAATTGATAATGCGGGAGGGGCTTAATTGCATTGGGGCTGAGGATCTGACCCCATATTCAATAAACCTATTTTTCGTCTTCCAAAACTTGGCATAAAATAAAATAAAATAGTCGTACTTTAACTCATGTTGTTATTGATTCCACTCGAAAAAAAAGGTTATATAATGCAAATAAAGATTTTAAGGATCTTAAATTGACTTTGGAATATAAGATAGAATTTATAATTTATTTTAACAGATTAGTCAATTTGTAAAATTGCTATACATTGCTTCAGAGGCTGCCGTGCATCGACCTCGCCACCACCACCTACTGAACACAGCACCTCACAGTATGATAAGAATATCATGAATTTTTATTAGTGACGTTAACCATTCGTTTACCAAGGCAAGGACTTGTTTCCAGCTATTGAGCTATTGCTACGGTGATTTGAATTATGAATACCAAATGTGTTAATGTGATATTAACTAACCAATATCCTAGAAATTATAAATATTAGTGACTACAATATGTTGACGTCAACCAGGGCCGTCAAGACACAGTGCTGATGCATTTTTTGTCGTATCGTACTATGTATTAGACACAATTAGTGCCTTTACATTCGGCTAAATTAATGCTTTTACATATCCTTGTATTTTAAGTAAATATAGTCTTTACTTATTTCATAGATTCTATTGTACTATATTTTAGACTGTATCAATGGATTTGTGTAAAATTATTTTTCTTCTATCACTATGAAAACTCTCCAAGCTATTGAAAAGAATGACAGACTCTTCACACCACATGGAAAGAAATTGCATTAAGAATAAAGTAGCTAGCATGACGACAAAAGTAACTAACGCAGCCAATCATTTATAATGCATCAACATTATATTTTTATGTTTTGGTTCTAGAAAAGCGCAAGAACTTGGCATTGTCAAAAGCACGGTTTGAAAACAGGAATTAGTTATCAGAATTTGAAAATGCCAATTTGCAAAGCAGGAAACTAACCAACGCAGCCACATAATATTTTTTTACCCCAACAAAACGCAACCGGGTAGCATTGTCGAAACTACTGTTTTCTGTGATCATATATTGAAACATGCAATTGGAAAACATGGAAACTAACTAACTAATGCAGCCACATTATATTTTTTCGACTCTGAAGAAATATATGGCATGTCAAAACTGCAGTTTTTCAATGTAGCTGAATTATTGAAGTTCCACAAAACCAAAACAGAACCATTTTCGCTGTAAAAAGGGATGGAATTTAAAATTAGTATTAACAGATGTAAAGCGCAGTATGAATATGTTGTGTGTTTGGGCAACCTTGTTAGTTCTAGGGTACATAGCTACTCAGTATATATTAGGATTTATAACATCTAAGGCATTCATTCAAAAAGTTGAAACATTATAATATTGCTGCTGTAAATTAATTCCACACACTCAAACTTATATAGCACATTTAGCCAAATTAAAGGCTTCTTTCTTCTATATATCTGCACGCAGAAAAGCATTCGCAAAGTTGACTCATAACGGTACACACTGTATGCATGATATATGTAACAATTAAATAGAAAAAAGTAGAAGGAGATATGATTCTCATATACTTGGACAATGTATTATATATAGATTTTAACTCAATGTATTCCACCAATGTAAGATGGGTTGCGATTTGGCAAATGAATATTGTAGAATTTACTTGGTATACATTGAACAAAATTGAAAAAATGCATAAATTGTTGGCTGAAATTGACCTTGATTGAAAGTATTAGCTATTCTTAGCTCAAAAATATTACCAGCCAATGGTCATGGAACATACATTTAGGGTCAATTGGGGAAAGTTGTACACAAAGACTAAAGTAATGAATGCCACCCAGGAGCGTTTGGGGAATGTTGGGCTTGTTGATTTCCCAAAACATACTGTGATCTTGCTTTATGTATATATCTGGTTTCCACTCTCGACCCGATTGCCACAATGTGCTCTAGGATCTCCTCATACTTTTTTCGCAATAGATATCCTAGTGTTCATCTTTACTCTGTTGAACTTCAGAGATCAGAGACACTGCTCAGGCTTCCGGTGTCTGCAAGAGATGGCGAGCTGCTGCAGCCACTGTCCAGAATTTGGGCAAGCCACCGCTGCGTTTACATCTTCGAAAATATAGTTGTCAGACATATGAATTTGCTGATCTTTCTTTGAGCCGGTCACATGGATATCGTTGGATGTTGTTTTCAAGGCCAACCTGCAACATTGACATTCCATAGATAGATACAATGCAAAAATTGTTTGTTGTAATTGATCTTAATTGAAAGGATTAGGAACTCTTAGCTCAAGAATATAACCAGACAATTTTCATGGAGCATACATTTTGGGTATATGGGGAAAGTTGAACACAAAGACTAAAGTATTGAATGCCAACCTATTTCCACCGGGGAGCATTTGGGGAATGTTGGGCTTGTCGATTTTCCAAAACTGACTGTGATCTTGCTTTATGTATATATCCGGTTTCCACTCTCGACCGGCTTCACAGAGGAAGGGGCATGCCACAATGAGCTCGTACTTTTCCTTCATTGGGATTTGTCTCCATTTGAAACAAATAGCATATTGGATGTTGTTTTTCAAGGTCATCCTGGTTAAGTTGAGATTAATAAATTAAATATATGATCACATACATGAACAAATATCACATATCAATGCCAACTCAATCTACCTCTGACTCTCCTTCTGTTCCCGAATCTGCTGCCTTGATCTCCCTCTCTAGTCTCATCTAATCCCTCCCACTGAAGCATTCGAAACAAACAAACAAATTAAAATCAATTAAATATAAAAAATTAAAATCATCGAAGATGAGAAAATTCAAAATAAATCAACCTTAGAAGCCACCAGAACCAATCAAAAAGCCGTTACCACAAAATAAACCCTAATCAAAGTCTTGATGTATTTCTGTAAATCCTTCCCTAAGCACTCATAAAAGCAGAAACTTACAAACGCTTGGATGATACAAATAAGAGGGGCCGAGATTGTTTTATAGGCCAAAGACTCAACCCAAATCTAGAATATTCCAAGTGTTTCCAAAGAGTCTATTGTATTCTACAACCTTCAAGAAAGATTTTTTTATAAAGTGGAGGTTCTTTCATAGGCCAAAACTCTACCAAAACCTAGAATATTCTAGGTGTTCTACAATCTTCTAGAAGAATTCCCGAATATTTCTAAATCTTTAGCCATGTTTGAGTGAACTTTTTTGTGCTTCGAAAAGCTCTATCACTGTTACTCACGTTTTTGCCTTGTCAGTTCACTCATTTTCACTAATATTCAAACTTTTTGCATTGTCCGCTTTTTTGAGAATTAAACAGATAGTTCTACAATATATATATATAATTTTTATTTATTTATTCATTTATATTGTAAATTTGTTCTAGACTATTTTTTAATTTTTTTAATTATTATTTAAAGTATTTAGTTACTCTACTCTAACTTACTATATTTATATTATTAAATACATTTTTTTATGTATTTTTTTAATTATTTTATTGATTGTATTTTAAATATTTTATTTAATAAATATTTATTATATTGATTATATATTACGTTAGTTATTTTATAATTATTATATTTTAATTGTGCTTGTTTGTTAATTTAAGTAAAAAACTATATCACAATCCGCACAATTCCAATAAAAATATATTATTTTATCTAATGAAATTATTATATAATATTAAATATTATTTAAAATCAAAACAATCAAACTCTCAATACATAAAATATTTTAAATTGCTATTTTTAGCATAATTAAACTAGATATATAAATATATTAAATACATATTAATTATATCATTTATATATATATTTTTCCAAAGTTTTAAAATCAAAATATATATGCACGGTAATTTGAATGATAAAAGAGAAAAATCTTATGATTTATTTGATTTTGATTTCAATTGAACTTTTTTATTTTACTTTTAATTTAAATAGTATATTAACGTGATATTTAATATTGACTTGTATTTAAAATTAAAAAAAAAAAAACTTACAAACTTGTATTTAACATGAAATATTGTTATTTTAAATTATTAAAGAAAAAAAAATATTATATCTATTGTGAATATAATATTATATTACTGTTACGTACGAAATTTAGAATTAGGTTAAAAGCCCAAGGTAAAAAGAAGAATGGGCCTGGCAATAGAGTTGATTGAACTGGCTCAAGGAAAATAGGTTTATTTCTAAGGAAAGTCCTCAGGACGGAAGGTCTTCAGGTCGGTAGGTCCTCAAGACGGAAAGACCTCAGGTCGGAAGGTCTTCAGGTCGGGAGGTCCTCAAGACGGAAAGTCATCAGGACGGAAGGACCTCAGGTCGGTAGGTCCTCAAGACGGAAAGACCTCAGCTCGGAAGGTCTTCAGGTCGGGAGGTCCTCAAGACGGAAAGTCATCAGGACGGAAGGACCTCAGGTCGGTAGGTCCTCAAGACGGAAAGACCTCAGGTCGGAAGGTCTTCAGGTCGGGGGGTCCTCAAGACGGAAAGTCATCAGGACGGAAGGACTTTAGGTCGGTAGGTCCTCAAGACGGAAAGACCTCAGGTCGGAAGGCCTTCAGGTCGGGAGGTCCTCAAGACGAAAAGTCATCAGGACGGGAAGTCCGCAGGTCGGGAGGCCCTCAGGACGGGAAATCCGCAGGTCGGGAGGCCTTCAGGACGGGAAGTTCTCAAGTCGGAACTCTGCGGCAGGACCAACAAATCGGATGGTTTGTTAGTCGGGATGTCTGTAGCTACTCCAAATAAGTCAGATGGTTTGCAAGTCGGGAGGATTGGCAGTCGGACCAATGCGGTTGTAGATTGGCAGTCGGGCCAAAAGGGCGGAAGGTCTATGGTCGGCTCAAAGAGTGGAATATAGGGATAATTTTGGTCTGCTGAGGACACGTGTCAGCAGGAGAAGGATTGGAAGACGGTTGGGAAGGAGACGTTGTAACCGTTCGGGCGACGGTTTTCAGTACAGTTCCCCAGAGAATATTTAAGGATTTGGATCATCATTTGACAAGGCATCTTCAATCAACTTCAACAAAGCAAAGTCAGATTTGGGGATCACCACTTTAAATTTCAGTCTTTTATTTTCCAGTTTATTTTCTGTACCATACAGTGTTTAGAGATTCCTAATATCAGGCACTAATTAATCAAGTTTAAGGATATTTTATATATCTTTGAATTTTACTTTATTTTTGTTGAAAAATTACATCAACAATTACAATACTATTAGGAGCACACAATTTCCAAAATATAGTCTTTTGGAGGTTTGGATTTTGTGTTTGGAATTTAAATTGAATTTTTTTTTGAATTTGAATAGTGGTAGGATGAAATATAAATAGATGTATGAATGTAAAATTGATTTTGTATAATATAATAAATTGTAAAAAAAAAAATCAATTAAAAAATATCAACAATAATAGAGAAAGAATAATTAAAATATGGAGAAAAAGACAAAAAAAAAAAAAAAGACTAGAAGATTTAATGTTAAATTAAAATAAATAACACTTTTCACCATTTAATTTATATGGCTGGACGACAAAATTGCACCGGGCTGAGGATCTCATCTCATATTCTATAGACTTGTTTTTTGTCTTCTAAAGCATTACATTAAAGAAAAAAAAAAACATTATTATACTATAACACATATTGTTATTGATTCGACTGCACAAAAGTTATATAAGGCCGATGGAAGTTTGAAGCAGCTTAAATTAATTTTGGAAAATAAGAAAAACTTTTTTTGTTTTTTAAGAAATTACTCAATTATTAACATTGCTATATATACATTGCTTCATGGGCTGCGCTGCAGACACACCAAAGATATTGATGTTGGAAAATAAAATCAGAGAGTGGTAGAAAAATTCCGGAAAGGAGAAATCGTATATCTATTCTTTTCCTTATCCAATATAACAAAAGCAAATGCATTTTAATAGCTACTTTGTGTTGGATTTGGGATCAAATATGTGTATAAAATATATTGTTAAAGTCATTATTTTTTCCAGTCATATTATTTAAGTGGTCTAATTAATATAATTAATTATTGACTGATAGGTTTGATTGTTATCGAATGAAAGTGCAGTTACCCGTATAATATTATTATTTTGGTGACGTGACAAATTAATAATATTAATTAAGGGCATAATTGTAATTGCAATTATGTTTGCCCTATTATAAATAGGCTAGGGTTAGGTCCCCAGGATCAGCAAGCCGTAAAAGAGATCTTATTCTCCCTGCAGTTTCTGCTCCTCACCCGTCAAGGACAGAAAGGAAGCCGGCTCTCTGATCTTGGACGACCAAACCTTTAATCACCCAAAATTTGTATATGGCTTCATCAGGTACGCTTCTGCTTTAAGAATCGGGCATCTTAAATTCAACAATTGGTATTAGAGCATGTTGAATTATTTGGATGTTCTGTCGGATCAATCGAATTTATTGGTATCGATTTTGGGATTTCTTTCTTAGATAAAGTAATTTTTTAATTAAATTTAATTAATTGAAAATTTTGATTAAATCCGGTGAATTGTTATGGTTCGGCTTTTGTGCATCTACTGTTTCTTTAATAATATAGATACATTAATGGCATGTTTGTATGTATATATATGCAATTAATTAATTATGCATTCGTTGAAATCAATTCATGAATATGTGTTGGATTATATAATTGCATAACTTGATCTCCGTGCCAATCCTTGTATTTTATTTTTATTTATGTATTTTACATTGGAATTCGTGTGCATGTTTAATGCAATAAATTGATTAGAGTTTTATTTTATAATACACAAACCATACGAATGATGTATTAGTGAATGTGTGCGCGCGTATTTATGTATGCATGCAATAATTGCTCTCATGCTGTCTCGTGCCCTCCACCACTTATTAATTAATATGTGCCTATGCATATATATATATATATTAATTAATATATGATTGTAATTTCAATCATGTTTGTCTCCTTGTATATTTTATGGAAACAGCATGTGTATTTATTTTTTTTTAATTTTTTTTTATCATGACTGTTATTAAATAATTTATGAAATTGATACATGTATCTTCAGAAATTAATTTTGCTTATATTGCAAATATTTCAACCTTCAGAATTGAAAACTCATTAATAATGCTTGCTGCGTTTTGACGGTGAAAATCTAGTATTTGAAGTTGCCAAAGTAACATCTCTTATATAAGATTTTTTCTTAATAACGTAAGTGTTTATGTGTATTTTAATTCATGTGATTATTCTTCGGCCCAAAGGCAGTCAGTAATTGACAGAATGAAATATACATCTGCGATAGTATGTATGGGATGATTGTATAGATTTAACTTATGTGAATAGTAAATAAGTCCAAAGATTGGTTACTGTTTGACATTACCTTATTATCCGTATATGATTATTGCAACAAGATGACTGTTTGCAGTTAATGGCATTGATCCAAAGATTAAATATTAATGTTGCGTTTAGTGTCTTGAGATGGGATTGTATTATTTTATTTTGAGTTTCATTATGCTACTTGAGTACTTATGTGTATATTTATTCCTTTGTTATCTTCAGGATCGAATCTTATGGTATCTTCTAACTATTCAGTCCCAATACTGTCTGGGGACAACTATCAGCACTG